ATTCGTTCCTTCAACTGCACGCTATCCGGCACTCACGTACAACGCCGTATAATCCAGCGGCAAACGGCATGATAGAGCGGTTCAATCGATCCTTGAAAGAGAGTATCCAAACTATTCGCTTATCTGGTACAGTTTGGGAGGATGCAGTACTATAAGCACTATTTTCTTACCGAACCACACATCCGAACCACAGACAAAACGCCAGCCGAACTGATGCTTGGGCGTGCACTTTGGACAAAGTTGCTGAAATCAATTGTGCCTGTGTTGGGAGGAGCAATAACCAAATAACTCCATTTCAGATACGGTCCTTGCGATCGGAATGACCGAGGTCCACCTCAAGTGAACCGATGTCTCAATAGAGGTTGCGTGTCGCAGCCCCACCACACAGCGGGTTCTCTAAGTCCAACTTTGAATTTCTATTATACACTTTTTGAACAATTTTTCGAATGAGCTGGCGATTACAGGAGTGTGATCAACTGGTCTGCTTTTGTCAATCTTCAGTTTTGCTCCGCCCTTGTGGCATGGGACAATAAACGAAGTTTCCATTGATCTGGCAAGTGGCGCAACCCCAGTGCGAAACCTGGCCCCTAAGATCGGCGGACATGAAGAGGCTAGTTACGTTCGATCATCGGTGCCTTCGCAGTTTGGCTCACGTCTGGTGCGAACACCGCGTGAGTAACGGGCGTGTTCGACGCCTTGTTTACGGCACAAGAAAAGGAACTGAACCGCTCAGCACCGTCATTTCATGCACCAGGCTCCGATGGCTGGGCCACGTATTGCGCATGCCAGCCCACCGACTTCCGCGACGTGCATTGTTTGCTCACCGAAGATGTGGATGGAAGAAGAGGAGGGCTGGCCAAGCGATGACTTGGTCCAGAGGAATGAAGGCTCTCACTTCGGAGCTGGCCTCGATTGGAGCGTCACGGCTCCCTGGTTGGGGTCCAAAAGACGGTGAACACGTTTGGCTGGATACACTTGTTGACATGGCAAGGATCCGACCTCAGTGGCGTTCCTGCTGTGAGTCTCTTTGTCCCTCCCCATCCTTTTTAGCCTCCCCCTCCACCTACGATCTCATTTAGTAGCCTAAAACATAATAATTTTTCTTTTTTCCTAGTAGCTTGCTGGTAGCTTACCGGAACGATGCCCATCCGTTGCTGGTAGCTCAGCTGGCATGCAACTGTTGTATTTATTTTTCTTTTCCTTTATGTATTGCGGCACAGTAGCTGAGGTGTTTCCCACCTCTAGCTGACGTGTGTAATGATGAATGATGATGCTCAACCTCAGTGAATTGGTAAACATATTCGGAAGGCTAGGCCATCCCAATTTTATGAAGGATTGTGGGGTGACATTGGTGTCCAGAATGGTGGAGGGTTGGATGGAATTAATTGTCTGGCGGGTATTACGAAACGATATACCAATTTTAGATACAGCTTTAGGCATTTTTACATTAATGTGTGTTATTCCATGGTCAGTCTTCAGGTTCGTTGAGGTGGCGAAGAACGGACTAGATGCTGCACAAATGTTGAACCATGACTTGGAGTGGCCTTGCTCGTTGACCAGCTCAGTGACCAAGCAGGAGCGGTTGTTGGTTCTATGACGCACAATTCTGACAAGGTCTATTATTGTAAATGTTGTTTGGGGAGCTGTTTGCTCTTCATGTGTTCTCTGCATTAACCGCGGGTGCTTGATTTCAAAGATGAGTCGGTGTGTCTGCAAAAACTGTGCAAAATCTCCTGTCTGTTCATATCGCGCGATCAGTTTTCTGGATTTCTGACTGATTGAACGTTCGGCTACATCTTTTTGAACATGAGTGATCCGCTATAGCTGTGGTTAAAGTTTGATGAACCTGAAGATAGAAATACTCCGCAGCTGTGCATGCACTGCTATAGAGGAAGTAAGTATCCTAGTCAGAAGATCGAATGAACTGGCGGAAGCGTTCCTTTTATCCTGTGGACTGCATATTGGGAAAGGGCGACATGTTTATTAGCCATTTTAACGCTGAAGGTGATGCGTAGCATTTTGTGGTCGCTGCCAGGGAAATTGTTTAACGCGTTTGTCTGTGCATTGGCGATACCCAATGTAAATATGAAGTTTAATGTATTATTCCATCTAATTGGCTTAGTAACCCACTGTGTCCAACCACCAAATCTGACAGCAGAAAGGATGGCTAGGAAGACCAGTGTCTGGTTGGTTGAAATTACCTGCAATAATCTTTTGTGTGTGGTATCAGATGCGATTTGAAAGCCGTAGTGATACGGGCAATACTCGAGGCTGATGAGTTCAGCCGGTTATAGATACATCTAAGTAAAATGAGGAGGCTCCTGGGACATCTACCAGAACGTTTTCTGTAGAACAGTGATCCCTAAATCTTTCCAAGCTGTAACCCCTAAAGAGCGTTTAACAAAAGCAATTACTCCCCTCCCAAAGCGTTGATTGAAAACACACTTACTGTTAGCAATCACACATTTTATGAAAAATAAATCTTTAGCAGTGAATTTCAATCATACAACAAAAGAAAACACTATTGCTGAGCAAGTGTCAATAACTCAAGACATACTGTAAGTTAGTGCTTAGCTTCGATAATTACGTTTAGTGCACTTTCGGCTAACGCACACCGTAAGTCATGCCCAAAGTTAAATCGGTCCCTTGCTTTTGTTTTCGTTGTCACCATAGTGGAAAATTTACTTTAAAACGTGTAATTGTGGTAAACTGGACCAGCATTTACAATGCTTTTTGCGATAATAATGGATAAACGCCGCCAATTTTTGCCAAAAATACTGCTGGCGTGCGTTTTGCGAATCTATTCTCAGTGTCTTACCTTCGTGAACCAACAGGTTGGTCTCTCTAGCGGAAAACACGGAAGTTTTAATTCAACCATCTCTTTGATGCGTCCACACTTCGAATACACTAGCGGAACTTGGCAAATTTGGCTAAAGCTTGACATCCAGCGCTCAAGCCACTGCAACGAAAAATGTCACAGGTTTGCGACACCTTCGGTTCCAGAAACGAGTGAAGAAACTCGGAATGCTCAGTGGTCCCTGGTTCTGAGCACCAGCTTACCGTATTGTGTTTTGAGTTAGCTGGTGGCAGACTCAAGACCGACTTAAAACAGACTACTTTAGCCATTGTAAAGGGTAACGTAGGCAGGAAGGAAAAGTAAAATGTGAAACTGACTGAAGATACTCGGAGTGTTCAGTAGTTGCGAGCGGCGGCTACGTGGAGACCTCGTATTATTTTAACAAATGCTGAGCGACCACAATCACGTATGTTGCCATCTTTTGAAACTCAGCCCCAAACCCCCAACCTCTGAGGTATTCGCCCGAAACTGAGTCAACAGTGTAGTCATTTAGATCGCCGACGAACTTCTTTCTCCCTCTGGGTCTGTCAATCCTGCAACGATCTTCCAAACGCAATTGGCTATGCATTCACCTTAGCCATTTTCAAAAAAGATCGGACACTGCATTGAGATCCCTACACTTTGTAACATAAGCGGATATTCTGGATATATTCAGACTAACTAGCCTATTTAGATTTATGAACCACAAGGGCACACGTAAATCTGTGAAGAGAGGTGAACAATCCGGTTATCTGCTATGAGTATTAACCACAACAACTTGTTATTTCGTTTTGACCGGCACTAGTTGGCATCTGCCTCTAGCCGTCATGGGTTCGATCCCCAGTAGAGGACCGAGGGAATGCGCACCAATTACGAGTCAGAATAGAGCGAAACGCGTCTGGTACTTTTTCTGGACTAGACTGTGCCATGTAGCTTGTGAACTACTTGGATGAACACAGTAAAAAAGGACCATATTATTTATGTCATAACTCTATCGCTTCAATGATTCGTATTTTACTTGGTCTATTTATTTTAATTTCTTCTATTAACAACCTACGGGTCCGCGGCCGATACCCATGGCTTAGCGACACAAGTTGCTGGGATCCGTAAGTCACGGGGTCGGAACCCGGAAGGGATGTGAGGAAGGCGAACCACTGACAAGACCCGGAAGGTCGAAACAGCTTTTAGAGACGTGTCGGAGCCTGCTGACTGAGACGGGACTGCGACGAACTACCTACAAAATCATGTAATGTTCGGAATTTGGAGAAACCTACGATATCAACTTCACATGTACGAATTCGTCATCGGGTAGCGAGCGGATGCCTCACTCGAACGAACAACGAGCGAGCCGATGCAGGCAGGTATTTGTATTTCACGCAATAACACAACTGAAATGGTCTAAATCACGAAAAATCATCGATATATTGTCACTGATGACTAATGAGTAGCGATTATATAGTTAGATGAGTTGATAGATTTGGTTTTGGTAATAATTTTGCTCATGACTGTAACATGACCCAAGCCAGGTAATCAAGTCCACCCCGGGTAAAACCTAATCCTACCCTTTTGGGAGTAACCACTGTAGCGGAAGGATCCAATGAATATCAAGAAGGTTAACTCAGGTTCGCAGCAGCGTATTTTGCCCACGATGCATCGAATGTTTGTCCTCAATTTGCGAAAAGAAGGGAATGTAACCGTATGGGACCGGTTTGGCGTATAAGTATTGAAGGCGTTCCTACTTCTGATCTCTAATCTTGCAAAACTAGTGCAGGTATACGGACGAAGGTAGAACAACACAAGTAGCGAAATTCGGATGTGTGGGAGCCTGAAGCGGATAACCGGTTTCGCTAGTCATATATTTTAACGCGCACCAATAGCTACTGAAAGGGAATAGGTAGTTCGTGGTAGCGTCAGACCAGTCCGTCAACACGATGCACAGATAGCTATCTGATGTCGATGGCGAGAATGACCATCGCCGCAATCTGACAGCCGGGAGTGGAAATTGTCTTTTTGAATGGGAATCGGCTCATACCGAAAAGACGATGGGATCCACTTGTGGCCGCATAAGGCCCTTGGTGTTCTGATGGTTAAAGTGCCAAGATCGATTAACGCAGAGCGATATGCAGCAGACAGGGCACTGAGACTCAACTTTAGGTAGGAATACTGATAGACGAATTGGGTTATATTTACACTTGAACGGATATACATCTCGCATGCGAAGTGGGAACCGTGTGATATGAACATCAGTACGGATGTGGAATGCACATCGAGAAATAGACGGTTCAAAGCGGTATCTACAAAAGGGTTGCAGCAAGCTCTCTGGCAGAACAGATGGGGAGGTGATGTTTACTGCGCAGCTCTTCCAGTGCATGTACAGCTCGGTTGCGTTCTTCAATGCGTCCAGATGCGTGCAGAGCAGCAATCTGAAATCGTGGATGAAAGGAGAATAGAGGTTATTAGGGAAATGTGAACACCTCATATACGAATGTCAGTTTGTGGGTGGAAACCGTACCACTGACGTTATCCAGTTCAGACAAAGCACTGTGCACTGATGTGCGGTGAACCTGACTCAATGCAATTTGTCAAAATAGTAAAAGCATCAATCGAACAAAACGAGGAGGAAACGTGCGATCAAAAGCCAATGGGAATCATCAGAATATGCTACAGCTGAAGCATGTGTGTGGTTCATAATGACAATGCGTAGATTTCCGGATTGTGTGAAAGATTGTCCACGAAACAGGGACAGATCACTAGTACAGTAATGATCATGCTCATGCATGTGAGCGTCTGTCAACAAAACATTTTGAAATACATAAATTTTACTAATGCAAAGTTTTCTGTAACATCTACCAGTGGGTATATATATATGTTGGTCTATGTAGGAGGAATTCATTTAGCGATTTACAGGATGGAAACATGGTGAGTATCGAGTTACAATCCAGAAAATTTTCAAGTTTAATGCGGAATGTCCTTGTATTTGTATAAGACCTGATAGTGACTGGTGGGCTATTCCACACGACAGCGTACCAGACGAGGAAGGATTTGGATCGAATATTTGTACTGGTTGTGTGTGTCAATAACATAAGACTATGTGTTTTAATGACTGAATACCTCCACTAAATCGCGTATCAAAGTGAGGCGATGTGGCAGCAAAACACTCCTTCGGATTCTGCAGGGTATGTACGGGCATCGCAAGAATCAGGAGCAACTTAGGCTATCCTAGGTGAACGTTAGACTAGCAAAGGAGTTGAGCAGGTGGCGTATTATAAGGCCGTTTTGTTTGGAGCAGGCTTATCGAGATGTAGAACGCAGACTCCTTAATAGACTCCGTTCCATACCCGGTGAAGAATACTAGATGTTTCGTCGGGAAAGCGATAAACATACACTATATTAATACTAAGAGTTGTCCATTCAACCCCAAAGAAATAACCACAACTTCGGTGCCGAAATTCTGAATGAAGCAAACGTGAGTAAGGAACAAGCCACCAAAACACTAGCAGGCGAAGTGTGAGTTGCACGAACTCCACCGGCACTGTCCACCACAACCGTTATTGAGCAGAAAGATTAGCAAAAGACGTGTTAGTTGAGGGTTCCTCGCAGTAGCTTCAGAGTCAAGCCGCACTCCATTGTTCGGGAAAGCAATAGGCTACCCTCTCGTCCAATTGAGACACGTAAGTAGTGTGCGTCCATCATCATCATCATCATCATACACGTTAGCTAGAGGTGGGGGAACACCTCAGCTACTGTGCCGCAATACACAGAAAAAAGGAGAGAAAAAAAGAATTCAACTGGGGCAAGCCGGCTGAGCTACCGGTAACGGATGGGCATCGTTTCGGTAAGCTACCAGCCGGCTACTGTGCATCAAAAAAAGAATTGCTATGCAAAATTATATAAGGTTAAATAATGAGATCGTGGTTGGAGGGGGAGGCTAAGAGTGATGGGGTGGGACAAAGAGACTCACACCACCAACGCCACTGAGGGCGGCTCCTAGCCATGTCAGCAAGTGTGTCCAACCAAACGTGTTCATCGTCTTTCGGACCCTAACCAGGGAGCCGAGACGCTCAAACTGAGGCCAGCTCAGAAGTGAGGGCCTCCATTCCTTTGGACCAAGTCATCGCTCGGCCACCCCTCCTCTTCCATCCACACCCCCGGCGCACAAACAATGCACGTCGCGGGAGTCGGTGGGCTGGCATGCGTAACATGTGGCCGAGCCATCGGAGCCTGGTGCGTGAAATAACGGTGCTGAGCGGTTCAGTTCCTTTTCCTGTGCCATAAACAAGGCGTCGGACACGCTCGTTGCTCACGCGGTGTTCCCACCAGACGTGAGCCAAACTGCGAAGGCACCGGTGGTCGAACGTAACTAGCCTCTTCAGGTCCGTTGCTTTAAGCGGCCAGGTTTCACAACCGTACAGCGTCCATCAGCAGGAACGGAAACCCATGACTTCTAGCGGACTGCATCATCAACCAGCAGTTTATGCTATTGGGCTATGGAGGGCAGTGGCGGACCACACTAGTGATCATAGATTAGGATTTATAGCGAAATGGGCACGGCGGTTTGGACCCCTTCAGAGTCGGCTTCTAGGGGAGATGTGATTACCGTTGATTTCTTCAATCGTGCACTGATCACTATCGGTATATCCGCAACACCCCTACCAACGTGAACACATGTATTGAGCTGGTGACCTAAAAGATGGCTTCTTGTGCATTCAAATAACACTCATCTTCCAAGTCTCAGCGTAGGCTATCGCCCTTTTAGACTAGATCGCTCCACTAGTTTGTGGATCTGTGGAATGTTCGAAGTAAGGACGGTCCCACTAAGTGCCTGTACCTGCGTTTGCGTGATACGGTGAAACGGTATCTGATTAGCAGTTCCAAGAATGATTAGGAGTGCTGGCGGATGACAAGGGTCAGCGAGACGGAGAAAAACTGCCCTGTCGGACCTAATAGCGAAGATGTGATCCAATTCATACGAGTCACGGGTCTAAGAAAACAGTGAAACCAAAGCTCACAAAGAAAAGCAGTTGTTGTCAACTTGGCATTAGATAGCACACTCATTTGCTTCTAGCTTTTCTGACGAGTTTGTATTTTTCTCCTGCCGCGCTCGATCAGAACACAGTATGCATAGCATGTTTGTTGCCATCTCCTGATCGGCTGGTCGTAGAACTGGGTAGCGGATCCTGATAGGAGGCGGCACATAGTAGTCAGCTGTTGTAGCCGGGGGATACTTCAGTTGTAGGCCTTTGATCACGCGTCCCATATTAGACATGATTTACATTCAATTGCAGGCGGATCGTCAACAATCGAGGTGACATCTTCAGCGTTTAGTGGTTGGTTGTAGTAGCTGTAGTAGTAATTGCATTAATTGCAGGGGCTTCGCTAATAGGTTGACGCTTATATATTGTTCCGATATAAGTACCAAAGTGCCAACCGGATCGGCTACAGTAAAGGCTGCTGTAATGTGGGATGTGTTAGAGGAGCAATAAAAATACAGGTACGCTTGTGTAGCCGTTCATGACGGCAGACTTTCGTTTTGCTATGATAGTTCACTGGTGTTTGTTTGAACGCGTCATTTCGCTCTCCCTATTGGCTATTTGGAGTTGTTTTTGTCTCTAGAACGCAGCCATACCCTGACACTATCACACTCAATGTACGTTCTTTGTGTGCACTTGTTTGGTTCCTCATCTGTTCAGTTCTTATTGGCTTTAACTGTCCGCACGCTTTCCATACTTCGGTCGGCTTTTATGTTTGTGAGTTTTGCTATATAACGAAGTGATTTCCTATGTAAAAGAACCCTTGAATCCTGGTCCTTGGTCGTTCGTGTCTTCACTATGAGATAGTTACAAGCAAGCCACTGGGTCACAGTGACCATGTGAATCTATTCATTGACTATTTCTGCTATGCACAACATCCTGAAAAGTTGGATGAGAAAGTGCATACTGTCATGCACTATAATGTGTTATCCACGCTTGGAAACGATACGTCTTGGACTATCTTAACCGAATGCCCCCCAGACGTTGCCTGGGAAACGTTCAGAACGTTTAGCACACTGATAGTGCACGCATCAGAACAGAAGTCCTACCAAGGTAAAAAGGACTATAAGTCATTTATGAGCAGCAGAACACTAAAATGTGTGTCCCTGAGAGATTTGACATAACGAGCTCAGAAGGGCTGACCGAATGCGAAAACCTGGACTGCATATTTGGCACATCGTAACTTCTGTGTGAAACTGATCCGCGAGGACAAGATTCCGCATCAACAGTTAATGAATCGATCCTGCATGAACCGCAAATTTCTGTACAGGCACGTTAACCGCCTTCGAAAGGTGAAGCGTGGAATTCCAGCATTGGTCGCAATTGATGGATGCACGCGGTCAGCAATGGAAGCAGCCGATTTCCTACGGCGTCATAATTCCCAAACTTTCCAGTAGGTTACAAGCCTAAATATTCTCCTCTTTTCTATTACTCCACCGTCCGGTGTATACAACACCAATTTCACTACAGGAGCTGTGTTGAAGAAATTGTCATCCTTGCGTATCCACAGTTTTCCCGGAATCGACACATTCGACTGAAGGCTCAGCAGGTAGTAGCCATTGATTTAGCAGAACAACTGGCCGTTTTCTATCAGCAATGTCTAGAGAACCATATTCCACCAATATGGAAGCGAGGCGTCCTCACTCATATCCTTACATGAGGTAGTCGCACTGACCCTACCAACCACCGTCCACTAACACTACTTCCTGTGCTATCCTAACTTATGGAATCAATCATCGCGGATGCGCTAATGCAATATTTGGAAAGCCACAACTCAAAAGCCCCAGGGCAACATGTCTTTCGTCAAAAGCGCTCATGTTCTACTAATCTATTAATTGCATGTTACAGTTGGAATGAAGCCGTTGAAGATGGAGCAGGAGTCCATTTCATCTACCTGGACTTCTCAAAAGCGTTTGATCGCGTAGACTATCGAATTCTTCTTCACAAGCTTCGGAACTACGACACTGACGACCCAATCCTGAGTTAGATAAACAAATTTCTACACGAACGTCGTTTGGAGGCGAGAGTCCGGGAATTTCTGTCCAACGCAATTGATGTGGAGTGTGGTGTGCCACCAAGCTCGGTGCTTGGGCCTCGTCTATTCTTGGTGTTCATCAAGGATTTGGCGAGATCAATTGCTTCCATTTCCTTTTTCCAGATGATAACAAGATAGGGCGAATGATCAGAGGACCGGCCGACCACGAACGGCTCCGGTGGGATCTAAACAAGATTTCGAACTCGTCAGTCCAACGTAGACAAATGTTGTGTTATGCAATAACGCCATAAACATGACTACACGTATGTACTTGGGGCACACGGATTGCAGACCAGATTCACAGCAACATGACTTCGGTGTGCTCGTAGATTGATCTCAACTGTTACAAAACAGGCTA